CTTCCTTATCTAGTCTACTCTCCACACTCTCTCCCTCTTTTGTGGCACTGCCCAATGTGCGTTAAACTGCTCTTTCAGGACTATTTCCTCTTCTTCTCTGGATCTGTGCCTTCACCACTGTAGCACAGGGAAAGGAAAACAGAAGAAAAAATATGTCATCATTTAAAGTGAAACCCATGCCCACCAAGGCCTGTTCCCAGCAGGTGAGCTACACCACAATCTCATGGTCAGAGCTACACCTAAGGCTAATGCACCAGCACAGGCTGGAAGACAAAGGACAAGATCCTGGCACACCAGCCCATGATGCACTTGTGCAGCAGTGAAAGCCAACAGTATACACAGGGTTGCACGAATGACAGCACGGTGAACAGGTGGAGAGTAGAGATTATTTCCCTCTGTATGGCACAGATAAAGTTGTGTTTGATAACCCTGTGTTCATTTTGGGCTCCCCAGCACAGAAGAGCTGTGAACAGACTGGAAAGAGCCCAGTGCAGGATCACTGGAGAGGTGACCAGTGCTGATACTGAGGAATCTGGATTTGTTTTGCCTGGAAAAGAGAAAGGCAAGGGGAGGTAAGGTTTTCAACCTTGTCTACTAAGTAAATGAGGTCTAGATTGGCATATTGCCAGTTAGTCCCTCTCCCAGTCAAATTTGACAAGGAATGGGATCTAATACAGTGATTATAAAGAGGATGGAGTCAGACTTTCCCTGAGATAAGAGGCAATGGGCTAACTTGCAACAGGGAGAATTCAGAATATAATCTGGACAAAAATACTTCTCCCAAAGCATAATTCAGCACTGGCTCAGGTGTCCAGGAAGGCTGGGAGCTCTTCATCCATGAAAACATACACCAATTGCCTGGGCAATGCAGTGAGCAACTTGCCCCAGCTTTGGAGACCTGCTTGTGAGGAGGGGGTTGGATCAGAGACCTCGGAGGTCCCTTTTCATACAGACCTTCGTGAGTCCACGTTCACCCCTTCAGCTCAGTTTGGGCAATACTGCCCATTAGCATGACGTGGCAGCAAAATGGTAACACAAACAAGGGTAAGAGGATCACGTCCACCGCACCTGAATCTTTTGCCGAGGAGAACTCGAGGCACACTCATGGACATCTGCGTGAAGGGACACACCTGGGACAAGGTCCTCCAGACGGGTGAGCTACGGGAAGGCTGTGCTGGCAGAGCCGCCTGGTGCCTACAGTACCACGGGGACAGGCTGAGAGAGGGCTGCTGCTGCGAAGCCCGGCACAGGAGAGCAGCTCTTCCCCGGGTCAAGCACTCACAGTCTGTCTTCCAGGAGCCACTGGGACGGCGGGACCCAGCAGCAGTGGGGAGGTTCAGCAGCCTGCCACGGCCGAGCACCCGCGCCGAGCTTGAGGCCGAAACAAGGCCAAGAGCCGGCCCGAAGCCGGGCCGCAGCCCAGCCCTCCTCACACGACCGCTTCATGCCCGCGAGTAACCCCAGCCCTTCCCTGCCCCTTACCCCTCCCTGCCTGGCTCTCTCCTGTCCCGCCACAGCCAATGGGGAGGAGGGCTCCGCCTGGCCCCGCCCCGCGCCGGCTCGACCCGGCCCCGCCCTCGGAAGTGCTTCCTCCAATCATTGGCTGGCGGGGACAGCCCCCGCGGCACCGCCCACTCGCGGGGTAACCTTTGCCTTAGTGAGCGCAGGGCCCTGCCCCGCTGCCACCGGCTGTCCAATCGGAGGCGCCGTGGGGGCGTGGCCGGACCGGCGCAGCCAATGGGCGCGGAGGAGGCTGTGAGCGGTGCGGGGGCCGCGGTGGCTGGTGCCGCTGCCGGGTTCGAGGAGGTACCGGCCGGCGGGGCGGCCGGCAGAGAAGATGGCGGTGGCGGGGTCCGGCTGGGGCCTGGCCCAGCTGGCCGAGGCCCTGGGTTCGTCGGAGCAGGCGCTGCGCCTCATCGTGTCCATCCTGATGGGTAAGGGAGGGCAGAGGGTGCAGCGGCCGGGGCTGACGGATCTGGCGACCCGCCCGCCGTTCGACCGGGCCACCCCGCCGCTCCAGCACCGTGCCGTGCCGTGCGGCGCCACGCTGCGCGGGGTAGGGCCGGGGCCGAGGCCGAGCAGCGCCTTGCCAGCACGAAGCCCCAGCTGTGTCAGCGCCGTCGTGCCAGGCCACGTGTGCGCGGAGCCCCCCGCGGCTCCGGACCCGCCCCGGCGGAGGGTGCATGCGCCCGGGTTGTGCCGTGGCGCGGCGGGGAGTTCGGGACGTGCCTCGCAGCAGCTGTTGGTGGGAGCATCCCTGCTCTCCCGGTGGGGAGCGGGAGCGGGGCGGGCGAGCCGGTGGGTTTCCCCGCAGGAAGTCGGGGTGCGGGCCTGGCGGGCCGCCTGTGAAAGGGGTCCGCGGCGGGGGGGGGAGCCTGGCTTTGAGATCTGCGCAGCCCCTTCGCCGTGGTGCTGGCACCCGGCGTGCTGCGAAACGAGTCCGGTTTGAGTCTGTGTCGTGAGCACTGTTTTGGGCACAAGAACTTGGTTTGCAATTGTGCCGATGTTGTTGAGTGAGTGACAGGTGCTTCATGTGCATCGCATTCCGCATGGGCATGTGTCTGGAGAGGGGTGTACGCTCCACAACCCTGTCTGAGTGCAGGGACGTCTCTGCCAAGAGGCATTAGTAGCGTCTGCAGGAGCGATGCAGGAGTGGCATGTCATCATCATGTCATCACAGGGACTGCCAGGTAGGGTGAGCAAATCCTGCTAGCTAAGTGGCCAGGAGAACTGGGATGTTGTGCTGCACTCCACCTGCAATGTGAAGCGTGTTGCAAAACATACACTGCTTACACTTATCTACATGTGAGATAGTTCAGTCACGTGTGAAACACTTAAGGCAGGGCTAGAGTTACAGTGTGGGCTAGCAGCTGAAGGCAGGTTATAGCTCCCAAAACATTATTTCAAGTGTATTTATACATGCTATCTACATACATCTCTGCAGATGCCCAATGAAACTTCGGGTTTGGGAAGATTTTGGTGGTGTAGTCACCAGCAGAAAGGAAATTCAAACGTTCCTCTGAACCTGAATGTGTATTTGAAGTGGTGCAGCTGGTACGGTGTGGTCTGTCAAAATCAAGTTGCTTTGGCTAACCAGCAAGTATAATTTCTAAAAAGAGGTGTAAGAATAGTTGTGTCACTTCAAAACCGTGGTCTGGACCAGACTTATTTCTGCCTGATGTTACACATTTATGATGTGTAAGATCAAACTGAACCAAACCATTCTTCATGTCAAGGGTATAGGGGACTGAACTGTTGAACTTAACATAGAAATTAGTTAACCAAATTAGTTAAACCAAACTTCTTCTATAAAGAACATATGAAGTAGTAAAGAACATACACAGGACACACACATAAATCAGCATAAATTAATCTAGCAGCTCTCCACAGCTGAATGGGAAGAGTCCTGCTTTCCTGTCTCCTGTGTTTGTCTCTACTTTAATGCAATCTGATTGAATTTTCTTGCCTGGCAGAAACCTAAACCAGAAAAAGACGATAATTTACTTCCAGGTTAGTCAACTGAACCGGTCAAGGGAGTAGTCCAACAAGTATTGATGCAAAAAGGTGTTAGGAAGCAGACACCTACATTAGAGTGATTCTTTTGCAGAATGCACCTTAAACATACTCCCAAAGTTCTTTCTTGCTTCTTACTAACAGTAAGCTAGAACATGGCATTGTAAGGCTGTTTCCTGCTTGGTGTATTATGGGTGAGCAAAAGCACTTCGCTGAAATGAATAGCAGGTAATTATCACCTTAGTGATAAGAAGAGATGCCCAGTCCAGTCACTAGATTCTTTTCAAGTGTGAAATTCGTGTGTGTTGTTACAAGTGTTCCACATACAGTGTTGACACTAAGCCACTGAGATGGCAGTGTCCCTTCCTGAGGTAGGCCACTTCCTATTTTGCATGAAGTCTTAATGGATCTTTCTTATTTGTATTAAAAGTTTGGGGATCAGGGACTGGGAACGAACTCACACCTCTTTCTCCTCCATACCTGAAATGTGTACCAAACCAGGAGGCTAGAGCTGCACTCTTCCCTGTCCTTTCTCCATAACCCAGTATCTCTTAATTATATGCAATTGAAAGCATAACTTCAGTTAGGCTAAAGGCATGCAAAACTGCCTCCACTGTACTTTGGTACTCATGCAAGTCATGTAGATTGAACCACTGAGGCAGAGGGGATTGACTCCAGCTTTTCTGCTTAATGGATTGGTAGTAAAGCATTATATTATTACATTAAAAGGAAGGGCCAAGTACCACTCCAGAGCAACATGAGAGGAGAGTGAGAAGAGCTTCTTAATCCAGGGCTAGCAAAGAAATGTTCATTTAATTGCAGTTTAGTTTATAATCCTTGAAATCCTTGAGCCTTTTGATAATGCACCTCTTGCAGATGACCATTTGGTAGGATAGCATAAGGTATAAATGAAAGGCATTTCTAAAAGCTGGAAGTGGCATTAGGTATGGCTTTTCCTTCACTTCCTCCATTTCAGGTGTTTGTATAGATTCAGGAAGAAAATCATTTTTGTTGGCTGCAGCTAATACTGCTGAATTCTTTCAGAACAAGACCATGAGGATGAAGCACAGTACTCTGTTCCAAAGATGGATTTAAAAGTTGTTTCTTATTTCTCCCTCTGTGATGCATTTTAGTATCTCCGCTGTGCAGTTTGACTGAAACAACTGTTCTAGGGCTTCACTGTTCAGGAGATCACCAGAAACTGGTAAAAATAGCCTTCTGAGAAAGAGGCAGAATCACAAAGGACTTTGCAACTTCTTACATTGATTTCCAGAGAAAGCGAAATTGATGTTGAAAAAATAGTCTGAATGGGCTTGATTCAGAATAAGAGTGTTCACTTAGTCATGATCTGAAATAAGCAAAAGAGGTAAATGAATGCTGTTAACATTCTGCCATTAATGAAAACAAAAACAAATACAGGGGAGAAGGAGAAAGCATGAAGAAAGAGCAATCAAGAACAAAAACTAGAGTAGTCCTAAAGGGCACGTTGCTGAGTAAAATACAGGCATTTTAATCACAGCTTTGTATTTAAATCGGACACCTTTTATACATCCTGCAATTCTGAAGTGCAGAATCCAATTTGAATAGAGCCCATTACTCAGATTATACGAGATTAAACATTTACTTCAGGTTTCTTGTATGTGAAAATTTGCATAAACAATCTTTGAATAAATGAGACTGTAATTTGGCAAATACTATCAACAGCAGGAATACTTGAATTTAAATTGTCATTTAAAAAAAACCTGGTGTGTCTAGTACATTAACATCTGCTGATCCTATAAAAATGTCTTTTGAGAGACTTATTCTACCTTGCATTCTTCAGTAAGCCAGGGTCCAGTGTTCGCCCAGGGGAAACTGTCTTTAGGTCAGCATGGAAGTCACCACTGGCCTCAGCTCTGTACTTGCAGAGTTACTTTCCAGTTGCTGGAATAAATGATCTGAACCAATGCTGTCCTAGTCTCTTGGCAGAGAAGAGGAAGGAGCCCCTCCAAGTGGTGCAAAGGAGAGAAGATGGTTTCTGTGCTGCTGCTCTTCTGCTCTCACTGCTCAGTGTGTAAGCAAGGATACAGGAGGCCTCATGGCACTGTGTATTTCAGACTTTAAGTTGGTCTTATTTCTTGCATGGCTATATGGTCCCAAAGAATTAAAGATATTTATCTGGCCATACTATTACACAGTGGCATGCGAGCTGCCTGGCATGTTCTGCTGCATAATATGGAGGAGGGCCAACATACTGTTCACAGCCCTGAGCCAGAACTGACCCTGCTGATCTGCCCAAGATCTGCCAGGAAAAGCACTGGTGAAGCGTTCCCTCATCTACACACATAGCAGTGACCAGCAGAAACTAACATATTCACACTGAATAGGTGCCAGAATCCAGCTGCTTTGCTTGCAGGTGGTGGTGTCTCCCCCTCTTCTACCTGTCACCATTTATTTCTTTTCATTTTGCACATCCTTTGCTTATTCTTGCTCTTTGCATCCTGAAGATTTTCAGGCTCAGTGAAATTCTCCCTGTGGTTACGTCTAGCTGAGGACTTAGCCCAAATCAAGTCCCCAGCTACTCAGCCAAGCAAGAACCTTACTGAAGGGGAGTCAAGCAACTGATTTTAATGGGTAAGAGATGTCCCATCTTAACACGTGGTTAAACCAGCCAAACCACAAAGCACTCATGTACTGCCTTTTTTAATCTCTTACCTTCAAATGCTGCTTAAATAAATAGAGATTTCTGTAATGCTACACACTGTGTCTACATTAGCAAGTAAAATGGTACAATAGGAGCAGATCCATAGAGCAGACTCATTTGTGTGCTGTACTTGATGGGTTTGGGACATTTACTTTGGATTTGCTTCAGTCTGGTCATACGGACTGAGCACCCACTGCAGTGCATTTTCAGTTCAGTTTTGTTTGAAGAGAGCCTTGTTCACATGCTTTGAGACAGTTGTGCTATGCAAACTAAAGCACTATAAGTGGACTTTAAAAGTGCACTCCTGAGCCGAATTAAAATCCTCATATATATGCACCCAGTGTTAAGCAAGGTGTGGGAGTTTTGCAGTATTATAGACAGAAAAAGAGAATACTTTTGAAGTCAAAATATTAGGTAAAGGCTTATACTTCAACATGTCTTTTTCTGTTGTCTCTTTCTTTTTAGTTCTAGCATTCTTACAGGAAAACGGACACAATTTATCTGCTAGATGTTAACAAAGGTAGAGTTAACTGATCAGCAAAAGGAAGAAGAGGAAAAATAGTCTGATCTGCTCCCTTGAAGATGAAACAGAGCTAACACATATAAAAGGGAAAATAAAGGGAGCCGAGATGAAAAGAATGGTATTCTTACTTGCAGCTTTATCTCCAGAAAAAGAGAGGCATCTTAATCACCCATTCCAGAAGATGCAAACCTGACAGCGCTATTTTTGCTTGGAATTAGAACTTTCCTCCTCCTTAATCCAGCCTCTTGATCCTTTACTTCTTTTGCTAAAGTAGATTGTTGTATGTGTGAACAACCTGGGCACTGTGCAGTGACCCATTCCTCTCCCAGATGGCTGTGGCCAAGAAGCTGATCTTGTCCTTTGCTTCTAGCATCAGGGTTCTCTTAACCAGAGATCTCCTCTTGTTCCTGTGAAAAAGTTAAAAAAGAAGCAGGGATTTAGCAGCAGCAGCATCTCCCAACTAATTTGTACCTTTTCTATCAATTGATAATTCCCTTCTACAGGAAGTATAACTAGAGACAAAACCCAAGTCCGCATGCAGACTGCTTTTCACCTCCATAGTGCATAGAGGAGGAGAATTACTTCAGATCAGGGGGTCACCTTCTGTTTTCCCTAGAGAGCCGGTTTCCTGCCTTGGTCTGCTCTGCCTGAGGGAGCTGTGAAAGAGGAGTTGGCCAGACTGGGAGCTGCTGGGCAGGGTCCCTCTAGGAGCAGGGAACTTTAGTCCTGTTGCTTCTGAATGGCAAAAGCAAAGCAGAATGGCATCCTGCTGCTGACATACCCAAATGTGACAGCAGGCTTGGCAGGAGGCAGCGATAACCGCTCTCCTGCTTCTGCTGTGCTAACCCAGGCTGCTTCAAGAGCACTGTAGTTGGGCAGGAGCACGGCTGTTGTTACTGGTAGGACCACCTCCTTATCTAATAAATAGTTTATTAGTGTTCAAAAGGGCACAGGCCACAGCAGAATGGCCACTGATACTCAGAATCCACTGCCATTCAGGGTTAAAGTTTCTATCTGCAAATGGCTCAGTTGTAAAAGTGAGAAAACTATGTTGTGTGCAGCAAACCTGGAACTAAATTGCAGTCCAGAGTACTAGCAGGTTGCTCTGTACTGCAGAAGAATTTAGGCTGATGTTGTGACTTTGGAACTGGAACAGCACCCACGTAGTGGGTAGCATTCTAAAAACATACCTGCTCTGCACATTAGTAGCTGTCATATTTGCAGGGACTCATAATTCTTTTTCCTTCAGAGAAGCATTACCTAAGCCATGATATGATCTGCTGTGTAGAGCTGAAAAGGAGTACACGTGACAAGTGAGACAGGTCTTTGAAAGAGTAGGAATGTTAGCTGGGGATGCAAGAAAATAAATGTCTGGCTTTTAGAAATCTGAGGTATAAAATAGTATTCAGTGATAATTTAATTCTGTCTACAGAAATAGCTAGAGCCAAAACCTGGTGAAAATGGAGTATTTTGTTGGCTTGTACTGATTTTTGAGAGTGGGAAACCCTTGAAAAATGTGATTTTAAAACCATATATGTAGACGAACAGCAATAAATCGTGCTTTGCCTGTATATCTGTTCTGCTCTTTCCCCCCCCTTGATCGACAGGGTAAACATTTTCCTACAATAAACCTCAGTATTTTAAGTTTGGATCTAGACTGATGGTAATACTTTGTATTCTTTTTTACCACTTTCACAAAGGCAGTTGTTAATACAGTTAATAGCAGGAAGGAAAAGGGATGGTTTGGGTATGGCATTTTGTAGGACAATGCGGAGCCACTGTTGCAGAAGGGAAGAGCAAGCTGGATGAGCAAGAGCAAGGTTGCCAGGCTCTGCAGGCGAGGGGCCATGGTATGTGGGGCTGGCGGGCTGCTGAGACCAAGAAAGCAGCCTGTGGCGTGGAAACCAGTGTGGGACACAAAAGCAGGAAGGAACAGGAACAAGGAGGCAGGGAAAACCGAAAGAGAGGTAGCAAGAGGCTGAGGAAATGGAAGCAGCAGCTCACATCTGGTGAGCTGCTGCTGGGAGCAGCAGGTACACATCTGGGCTCAGTAGTGTGCTGCCACCCTGGATCCGCAAGGGAACCCAAACATCCCAGAATCGGGAACTCCCTCCCAAGGGATCTTGGAGGGAGGAAGAGGATCTTAAAATGTCTCCAGTCACACCTCAGCGTGTTAGTGCTGCCTGACTGCAAGACACGCATTTTACATAATGTGACAGAGTTTCTCGTTTCCTGTCACAGTAGTGACTAGATTTGGCCTTGCTTGTTGGAAATCTTCCATCCATCAAATGCTTCCTGGCAAAATGGGCATTTCATCACCTTTTATTACTGCTCCATATAAAACATGACTACCTACTGCTACTATTACTCCATGAGTGTAAGTAGCAGAGATCTATCCACTGCTACAGATTTCATCTAGGCTGATAAGTAGCATGGATGCCAATATTGTGGTATATGATTAATTTCTTTTTTGGTTGGGCTTTTTGTTGGTAGAGGAGAGTTTTTTGTTGTTTTGTTCTTAATCAAGATGAAAGCAACAAGCTTGCAAAGTAGAGCAGTAGTAAGTTACAAAATGCTAGAATTTAAATGGATTCTGCTATCCCAATTCAGCTCATGGTATACATGCCTTTAGGAGCGCTAATTGCCTGAACAGACTTCACATACTCATGAGATGGACAATGCTTCTTGTGTCAGTATCATGGAATGGTTTGGGTTGGAAGAGACCATAAAGCTCATCCAGTTCCAACCCCTTGCCATGGGCAGGGACACCTTCCACTAGAGCAGGTTGCTCCAAACCCTGTCCAACCTGGCCTGGAACACTGCCAAGGATGGAGGAGCCGCAGCTTCTGTGGGCACCCTGTGCCAGCTCCTCAGCACCCTCACAGGGAAGAGCTTCTGCCTCAGATCTCATCTCAGCTTCCCCTCTGTCAGGTTAAAGCCATTCCCCCTTGTCCTGTCCCTACAGGCGCTTGGCAAGATTCCTCTCCAGGTGCCTTTGGTGCCTTTAGGCACTGGAGCTGCTCTGAGGTCTCCCCTTAAGGAGCATTCTCTTCTCCAGGCTGAACAAGCCCAGCTCTCTCAGCCTGGCTCCAGAGCAGAGGTGTGTTACAACATAATATAGTTATTGTATCATACGTAGCAATGTTTAATGCACGTTATGTGAACCTCACCTAGACGACAAAATTGCCTTGACTCATGGGTTTCTGTATGGCACTTCTCCCCGTACTACCAGAGTGCTTCACAAATGTTTGCTTCTCACTAGAGCCACAGATGAATAATCTGGAGGCATTCCTAAAATACAGCAGGAGCCAACCAGCAGAAAATGCAAGGAAAAACTCCTTCTATGAATCTTAGCAGCTCCGTATGCAATGCTTCTGACTTTGATATTGTTAAAAAAACACTACATCCTGGTCCTAGTGGATGTTAGTTACAGCTTTGTGTGCCCAGGAGTTCACAAATCGGATGCAAATCTGAGGCTGGAGAGTTAGAAAAGAAAGAGCGTACTACTGGAGGTCACTTGAGGCACTCTGGTCAGCATCATGTAAGAGCACATTGAAGTGAGAGCAGGGATTGAATGTTAGGGTAATGTAATGGTATTAACCATAAAATATCATCCCTCCCACCTTTTTTTTTTAATCTAGCTTCTTGCCACATTCACTGTGTTTGTCACTGAATCTGGAAGTGAATCAGAGACTAAAGTGTCTGATTCATGTATTTCAGCATTATCCATCTCATGTATTGAATGAGGCCAGAAACTGTACCCCTGGAATTTCTTGCACTTCAGTGTCGACTTTGACATAATTATGTTCCTGTTGAAGTATTTTTGTCTCTATAATATACAGAGTATATGGCATCTTACCTCCCAGTATGGAAATACAAGATCAGAAATGTACAACATGACCTGTGTTCATAATGTATGAACATAAAGTACATGTTCCTATTAACATGTTGAAGAAAGCTGTAATCTGGACCATCACAAATACTTGTCTATGCTCATTTACAACACTTTCATCTTTTTTGTTTTCTCCTCAGGATATCCTTTTGCCTTGTTCCAGCGCTATTTCCTTTTCCAGAAGGATACCTACCTCATCCATCTCTATAATGTGTTCACAGGACTCTCAATTGCTTACTTCAATTTTGGTAAGATGAGTTTGGGAAGAGAGAGCTGCCTGGCCCAGGGTGTGCTGCAGTTTGGGAAGACCTGTTGTGTCATTTCTACTTCATCTCTTTCTTTCCCGTCCCACAGGGATGCAGTTCTTTCATTCCCTGCTGTGTGTCCTAATCCAGTTCCTCATACTGAGACTAATGGGTCGCACCATCACTGCCGTCTTCACAACGTTCTTCTTTCAGATGGTAAAACTCTCTTTCTTACTGCATCAGTTTGTAGAAAGGAGCCCTCTGTTCAGTTTTATACTTCCCAGTAGCAACTGTGGGTGGAAAAGTGGAGGCAGATCAAAACCAGCTGGGGGAATTAGTTTGACTAACCCAAACAATGGTCTCTTTCAGATATACCTTATGGCTGGATATTATTTCACAGCCACAGACCATTATGATATCAAATGGACAATGCCACATTGTGTCTTGACGCTCAAGTTGATTGGTGAGTGACACCTCCTTCCTATCTCTTGTACTATGCAAAAGCCATGTGTCAGGGAAGGGAGGACTGCTTGTTCAGCCCAACAAGCCCATCCCAGGCCTTCAAATAATTGTTTCTCACCTCTAGGTCTGGCCATCAATTACTATGATGGAGGAAAAGATCCGGTAAGACACCATTTCTCCTTCATTCCTTCTCCCTTCTTCTGTGTCATCCCAGTGAGCTAGAGGTCAGCAAATCAGGTTCAAAGGATGCAAGTTAGCAAGCCACATGCATTGTTTGGTAAAAGCCGTAGTTGAGAGGGGAGCCTTTGTGAGTGTCTAAGGCACTGAATTCTGGAGTGGAAAGAAATAATTTGAAACAGAGACAGTAGTGATTAGAGAGAGACAAAAGTTGTTTCAATCATGTCAGAATATTCTGCTCCCTTCCAAATACCCCAACCATCTCCTTCCTCCAAAACTGTTGCTTTAGATTCCCAGTCCCCGATGCTTTGTGTCTTGTGGGTAGTGTACTTGCAGACCATCAGCACTGGATCTCAGTTCCCATCTTCCTTGCCTTTGTTTAGCCTTACTATATCCTTGCCCTTTACCATTTGTTAGGGCCCTGTTTTTAGAGCTGATGAAGCAGTGAGGGAAGAAGCACAATGTGAGGGAGAGAGCAGAACACTTACTACAGTCCCTTAATCCTGCTTCAAGTATCTGCATTCCTCATCTCCTGTTGGGGCCTGACCAAGATTTTAGCATCCATGGAATCGCTATTGACTGCAAGAAAACGAGCTTGAGCTGAAATTTCCTAAGCTGAAGTTTCAAGTATTTAAATATAATGAATTCTTGCATCAAGAAGTAGGAATTGTAGGACAATAAGGTCTTTGGAGAATACATGCAATTGCAGTCAAGAACTGGAATAGGTCAGATAGAGTGCTTTTACAATGCTTAGCATGCTGGCAGGGATGCATGTCAATAGATCCCTTCCATGTTTTGATCTTATTTAGGAAGAGAGATCTGTGCAACTGCTGTCAACCATTGGATCTCGTTGCTATTTAGAGGGGGTGGGGATAGAGAGGGCTGGGGACAGGGATGGTTGTGAAGTACGAAGTGGAAAGTTATATATATATATGGAGGGCAAGAACTGAAACCATTGAGGAGGTAGGCTGAGAGCCTAACATCCAGAGTTAGTATGAGATCCCCTAGGATGATGTTAATGCCACTCCCTTTGGTGCAGGAGTTCCTGACCCCTGAGCAGCGGCAATTTGCTGTCCGGGGAGTTCCTACCTTGCTGGAGGTCTCGGGATTCTCCTATTTCTATGGTGCCTTCATGGTGGGGCCTCAGTTCTCCATGACAGACTATCAGAAACTGGCAAGGGGTGAGATGACTGACGTTCAAGGCCAGAGACCCAATAGGTAATACAAAGCCACTTAGCTCCTCACCTTCCTAAGATCCCAGAATGCTGAATCCTCCACATGTTCCCTGCAGCAGAGTGCCTTCTTACCTGGAGACTAAAGTACTGTGATCAAAAGTGATTTCTAAGACAAGGCAGTCTTCCAAAAGTTGCTCATAACAATCTGGTTAATGTCCTCGCATTGTTCCAGGACATGAACGTCAACCAACCATTTGACATGTTTAGTACAGACTCGGTCCCAACCTGCCAATGTTAGCATCCCAGCTTCCAAATGAAGTCATTTGCTGCAGTGGAACATGGTGACTCCCTTATCGCTATCTCCCCTAACTGCTCCACTTCTGTTCTTCAAATTATGATGGTTGCCTTCCATCGCTTTCTTTTTTGACCTTCATATTTTTCTTTCTCAGTTTTGTGCCCGCTCTGAAGCGCCTGAGTTTGGGTCTCTTGTTTCTAGTAATATATACCTTGTCAAGCCAGTACATCTCTGATGAATACCTCACCTCAGATGATTATATGGTATGTATTCATTTGGCAGTACTGGGGTGTGGAAGAATTCTGCTTCTCTTGTGGGCATTGGATCTACAAGAGTGGGTTTTTTTTCTTAGTTTTGCTTCAATTTAAGAATAAGGTAAGTCATCAACTAGTGATAAGCCTTT